CTGAATGTTTGCATAGTGACGGTTACAATGTTGTTACAGTTGTGTTTACAGTGACAGTCATACGCGGATGTGTCTGATCACCTGTATTTACTTAATACAGAAATTATTGTACCTAAGATTTGTATTTTTTGAACCCAATGATTATCAAACTTCAACCTTAAATCAGACAAGAACAACAACTAAAACAATATGTAACTTTAGTACACGGTTTTCAGCGCCACCCGACCAAACACTCACAGCTGATGATACTATAAACATTCACAATTCCCCAGGCCTGAGCTACGGCGTCGAGGAGGAGAAGAGCAATGCCCATCCCAAGAGGGACTCCACCAAGGGGAATCCCGGGGGCTCCCCAACCACCTGCTCCACCTCCTCGTCCTTCGTTCCACGCAGCTCCACCTCTTCCGCCTCCCGCAGCTCTTCCACGGACGATGACTTCATCCTCGTCTCCGCTCCTGACCATCCTGCGTGAGACTAGCATCCTTGGGAGGTCACTTCGGAGGTCAAACGAGGTCGTGGGAGCTGATGCCAGGGGAATAAAAAGAGACGCGAGACGATTAAAGGCCTTTAGTAGCGGGGCAGTGTGATGGGAAGATTGTCCACTAGTTGGCATTGGTTTCGAATAGCCTTGTTGCGAGTGTTTTGTTTTATCATTATGATAACTGTTTTTGAGATTTTTTTTTATAGCTTTACCGGAAAGAAAATGGATTGGTGCCACGTTGTGATTGAAATCATGTCATTCAGAAACAAAGTACATTTCTTTGTGGTTCATTCCATCCCACCCTTTTGTTATACCCTTGCTTCCACCTTGCTCAACACGCACATGCAGCATTTTTTTTTTTTTTTTTTTTTTTTTTTTTTTTTTTAGTTTTCAGTGGCTTTATTCTGCAGAATATGGGTCTTTTGTCGTCGTATGGAATACATAACTGCTTTTTGCCTCTTATTTTAGTGTGATTAAATATCTAGTTCATTTTCGCTGTATCGCTACCTCCCCTCTTCGTAACATATTTACCCCAAAACAAAATACGAAATGTCCAAAAGGTTCTCCCATTTTATCCTTAAAGGTATTATCCTTGCCACGCAGCTTATAATACTATATCCCTAGGAAGCCTCACTCCAACTAAAGTCAATGTCCAGCAGCTTCCACATCATTATCTCTATGCATTATCTCTACTCATCCAAACCGCCATTCACGTCTCTATAAACTCATACCAAGCTATTCTCTTATTATCTAAGCTACTCAAACAGTGTACATTATTCAAAACAGAGCCCTCTTCTTCACAAACATTTTCCTCGAACCTTGCTGATTTACATGCAAATCGCTTCCAACTCCTACAACAAGTGCCCTTAATAATACTGTATGGTATATTTCAACCTCGCACTTTCCCAACACTTTTACGTTATATCTGCCCGAACTCTTCTAAACCAGGACTATCTGCTCCACATGCAATTGACAATAGGCTACGTTCTGATTGTCACAATATCAGCCCTAGTATATACAAACAAACACAATACACAAAATAAGTGTATTCTGTGATGTGATAACATATTTTGTGCATACTTTTTGAGTCATTATATCAACACGGTAAAGTATTTTGGCATTTATATAATCCATATCATCGTATCAAAAGTTTAGACATACCTAGGGTGTATATAAATATAGAACTTTGGTCATGTCAGCCCTAATAGGTACACAGGGAGAAACCTAACATTAACGAAGGCTAAGTTAACATTCCCCACACACTGACTCCCTCTTTCAAAGCACAGGCTCTGCACCTCTTCCCACTCTCTCCCAACAAACACTGGCACTCCTTGTGTTTTATTTCAGCGTCTTAAGCAAGGCAAATGGCAGAGAATGTTTTGAGAAGTGAATGAGTTTGTGGCTTAAAAATTTCAGGTGTCTTTGGTGATATTACTAAAAATATTGTCTGTTGCAAGGGAAGTTTGGAAGAGGCTCTTATAGTGAATGTAGGTCCGCTCATGGTACCATGAAGCTCTACTGCTGTGAAGAACATTTTATCATTTCACACGTATGAATTTCACAAACGGACTTATCTTAAGAAAATTATCTGGTGCAATTTATCGGATATAGTAGTGATGATAATCATGAAAAATCTCGTTGTCTTGTGGAAATGAAATCGGAAATAAGATGTAAAGGTGTATATTTGTGTACAAGTTTAGAGCATTCGAATGCGAGAACAAAGGACTATATGGAAAAATAGCCATGACTAAACTGTGATTTTTGAGTGCCCATGACATTTCTCCAGGCCGGGAATAAATCGTGTAGTTCTTTACTACATATTATTCCCATGAAATCTTCCAGTGTCTTACAGATGATGGACTGAAAACTACTATTGAAACGCTGTGCAGTGTCTATATGCTGTTGGAAACGGTAGATTTTGCATTTGAAATTCAGTACAAATGAAATCATCAATATTTCTGCCGCAAGAAGTGAACTGAAAATGTTTTTATTAGTAAGCATTGCATTATTCTTCCATAGAAAAAAAATTAATTCATGCTGATTAGCTCAAGTAGAATATTTTCAGATTAGGTTCCTTTGGATGAACAATCAAAGCAAAATTACAGAATAAAGTGGCATATATTATGAAGCTGATAACCAACCAACTCAACCATATGTTTTATATACTTGAGCCCCTTATATCACATTACTATATATGAATATATTAACTTATCATTTGTATACAATACTGAAGAGTATATTGAACATACATATATCACGCACAATTCTATTTACAAATATAAGTGAATGATTAAACAGTATATGGTTTTAATACGAGGTAGAAGTAATTCAAATTATTTATGTAAAAAAATCAAACTCAAAGTAATTCTGATTTTTTTTAGACCAAACATTTCGCATATGAATCCATCCCAGACTGATGTAATGCTTTCCTTTTTCTGGTCATATAAGACGTGTGTGTTAACATTAATTTAGGCATCACAAGTAGTGCCTTTTTGTAAGACTTGTGTACATTACTCACAAGTATTTGTTGTGTCTGTTTTGTATGTCGGTTGTGCCGAGAGAGGCAGCCTGATACTGTCAAACAATACGAGGGGTATTACAACATCCAATAACCGTAAATGGTTGTAACTCAAGCACAACCATAGATAGATAATCAATAGTTATCAATCAGGGAGTATGCTGACTGCTGAATAATTGTGTCATGCGAATCATTCACGTAGAATTATCAATCCTAGCAACTCATGCGTCACATCTACTCAACACCTCAAATCGATTTTATTTGCTTCCTATGTGTTTGTGTATATATGATTTGTCATTACATGTCATTCATGTAAGCGTGTATCAACTTAGACGTTAACTAAACTGTGTGATAAACCTACTGTGTTATAAATGGCAATTGGTGAGTGTAAAAACGGACGGGTCTCATGAGATGCCAAAGGCCCCTTTGATTGGTAGTTCCAAAAGGAAATTTTAATTTTTTGATAATCAGTTGTAATATTGTAATAGATTCACCCAGTAATTTTGACAAATCTAGTTCTTAGTGAATAGTGCTTATTTTCCCTCATGGTGAATAGAAGTCACAATAATATTGGTATTGGTGATTTGTTTTAACCAATCAGAGAGCTTTTAACGGCATGATATTGTCCAACCGTTGGTACCGTTGCCGTTGACTGCTTCATGAACACTTCCAAAAGTTATATGTAGATACATCACGCTTTGTATAAGGAATTTGTAGAAAGTTGGATAGATACTTTATGTGATATTTGTACAAACCAGAAATAATAATAAAAAGATATATAAATTTACAAATCATTACCCTGTCCATTTCATTAACCAAGAAATTTGGGACAGAATAGAGTAATGTGTATATTTACACATTTATCTTAATATCAGAGGTCGGCAACCTGATCTCCTGAAGTGCTTGTCTATGGCACGCCATGTGATTCAGAGGAGCAAAGAAAAAGTTAAACAGCAAGATAATATGATGAGTATAAATCTAAAACTATAAAACATTTATATTTTTTGTTACAAAGAATAATAAATGCTACAAAAATATTACATTTGTGTTATGCATGTGTAGGAATATACATCTGGGTATACAGTGCTGAAAAAACTGGCACGCAAGGTAATGAATAAGAAGGCATTAATAATCAACTTGCACACTATGTTCAAAAGGTTGCCGACCCCTGATCTATATCAAGCTCAATTGTTTATAATCTGAGTATTATGCTACTGATTTCTTTAATTACATTTGTTACTCTCTCAACAAGAACGTAGGCTAATATAGAGATATTCATACATATATATGTATATTTACATATATATGTATGTACACACACACACACACACACACACACACACACACACACACACACACACACACACATATATATATATATATATATATATATATATATATATATATATATATATGTATTTATATTATATATACATGCATATATATGCATACATATCATATATATATATATATATATATATATATATATATATATATATATATATATATATATATGTGTGTGTGTGTGTGTGTGTGTGTGTGTGTGTGTGTGTGTGTGTGTGTGTGTTTACATATTATATATGCTTGAACATATGTATATATATATATATATATATATATATATATATATAATATATATATATATATATATATATATATTATATATGTATTTATATATATATATATATATACATATATATATATATATATATATATATATATATTTATATATATATTATATATATATATATATATATATATATATATTATATATATATATTATATATATATTATATATATATATATTATATATATATATGTATAATATATATATGCATATATATATATATAATACATATATATACATACATACATATATACATACATACATATCATACATATATATATATAATATATAATATATATATATATATATATTTATTATATCATACATATACATATATATATATATAATATATATATATATATATATATATATTA